GAGTGATTTTCGTGTGCAAGTTCAGTACTAGCCCCTCTAGGATTTTCCAGGTGTATATAATCATGTATCTCTCCCACCTGCGTTCCAGGGAATACAGGTTCAGGAACCTCAAGCGCTCCCAGTAATTTAGGTATTTTATCTCCATTATGCGCGCCGTTAAGGTTCTCTGTACATTTTCTAGGTCAGCAATTTCACCTGCCTTGAAAGGTGCTGTTAGTGTGCAGCAATATTCCAGCCTAGATAAAAACAAGTGACCTGAAGAGTGTCATCATGGGCTTGGCATCCCTAGTTTTGAAGGTTCTCATTATCCATCCTGTCATTTTTCTAGCAGATGCGATTGATACAATGTTATGGTCCTTGAAGGTGAGATCCTCCGACATGATCACTCCCAGGTCTTTGACGTTGGTGTTTTGCTCTATTTTGTGGTCAGAATTTGCCTCGTGTCTATCTCTTTTTTTTTTTTTAAACTGGGACTGCATTGGCTGTCTTCCATACCTCAGGTACTTAACCCGTTTCGATAGTGTTGAAGATTGTTGTTAGTGGTATACATAGCACCTCTGCTGCCTCTCTCAGGACCCATGGAGAGATGTTACCTGCTCCATCGCCTTTGAGGTATCTAGCTCGCTTAGCAGCCTCTTCACTTCTTCCTCGGTTGTATATATTGTGTCCAACACTTGATGATGTACCCCACCTCTCTGTCTTTCCGGAGACCCTTCTGTCTACTCTGTGAACACTTCTTTGAATCTCATGTTGAGCTCCTTACATACTTTGTGGTCGTTTCTTGTGATCTCTCCTTCCTTCCTCAGCCTGATTACCCGGTCCTTGACTGTTGTTTTTCTCCTGATGTGGCTGTACAACAGCTTCGGGTCAGATTTGGCTTTCGCTGCTGTGTCATTTTTGTATTGTCGTTGGGCCTCCCTTCTTACCTGTGCATATTCATTTCTGGTTCTGTGACTGCTCTTCTTATTCTCCTTGGTCCTTTGCCTTCTGTACTTCTTCCATTCTCTAGCACACTTGGTTTTGGTCTCTCTACACCTTTGGGTGAACCAAGGGCTCATCTTGGCTTTCTTGTTATTTCTGTTTACTTTTGGGTACAAACCTCTCCTCAGCTTCCTTGCATATTGTTGTCACATATTTCATTACCTCGTTTACTGACTGCCGTTCCAGTTCTCTGTCCCACTGAACCCCATGATGAAAATTCTTCATGCCTTTGTAGTCCTCTCTTTTGTAGTTTGGCTTCATTCGTCCTGCCGTTTCTGCTTCCCACTCCGCTTGTAACTACTATGCATTCGAAGCTCAGAACCACATGGTCACTGGCCATATGGGGTCTTTCATATGTGATGTCCTCAATATCTGCACTACTCAAGGTGAATACTAGATCCAGTCTTGCTGGTTCATCCTCTCCTCTCTCTGGTAGTGTCCTTTATGTGTTGGTACATGAGGTGTTCCAGTACCAGCTCCATTTTAGCCTTCCATGTTTCTGAGTCCCCATGTGGCTCCAGGTTCTTCTAGTTGATTTCCTTGTGATTGAAGTCACCCATGATCAGCAGCTTTGTTCTACTCACATGAGCCCTTCTGGCCACTTCAGCCAGTGTGTCAACCATTGCTCTATTACTCTCATCATACTCTTGCCTTGGCCTCCTGCTGTTCTGTTCATTCTCTCATTCTCTCTCTCTCTCTCTCTCTCTCTCTCTCCTCCTCTCTCTCTCTCTCTCCCTCTCTCTCTCTCTCTCTCTCTCTCTCCCTCTCTCTCTCTCTCTCTCTCTCTCTCTCTCTCTCTCTCTCTCTCTCTCTCTCTCTCTCTCTGGGTTATACATCACTGCAATTACTGTCCTTATAGAGAATAAACTTTGAATTTGAATTTGAATTTGGGACCTCCAGACTGAAGTGTTCCTAATATGCAGTCTCTTGCTTCTCCTCTGTCTCCACTCTCCAGCTCATCAAAATCCCATTGGTTTTTGATGAACAATGCCACTCCTCCACCCCTCTGTTCCCTCTGTCTTTCCTCAGGATCTGAGTGCACTCAGCTCACACACTGAGGTCTGGGATTCGAATCTCCTCTGGTATGGCTGGAAAACATTAGGGACGTGTTTCCATAAGACACCTTCTGTCCCTGTCCCTGTTCACCCATCAGTTCAAAATGGGTACCTGGGCATTAGTCGACTGGTGTGGGTCGCATCCTGGGACAAAACTGACCTAATTTGCCTGAAATGCTCAGCATAACAAGCGGCTTTCTGTATAGTAGTATGTCAGTGATGTCAGCTAGACATGTATACCTTGTACATGTACTTGTAGTAAATAAAGATATTACTATATGTTATCATTCCTGTGAGCTTAGTTTCTGCGAGAGCTGTGATGTCCAGTGATGCCTCTTTGACTCTCATGCCACTCCTCCCACTTATTCGTTATTCCATCAGTGTTGGTGTATCATACCTTTAGTTTCCTCTCCAACACTGTGTTCTGAGGGGTCTGTGAGGGTGGGGGACCTGGCAGTGTGCTGTGGGATTCTACAGCATAGTGTGGATTGTGGTTTGTGTTGGGATAGCGTGTTTGGTTGTGGGGTTCTGGGGGTGGTTCTGTGTGCTTGTTGTTCTGCCCTGCTCCGATTGTCCTCTGCTGACACTGTCCTTGTCTCTCTTCCTAGCCCCTGTCGTTTCTGTGTCCTCTCCCTCAGCTGCTGTCGTTCTATTCTTGTTCTGTCTCTGTCTAGGAACACCCTCTTGTATGTTGATGATTCCTTCAACTGATTTTTCGTGCAGGATTCTGCTCTGCACCTTTTCTGTCTTGAAAATCAGTTTGACCAGCCGATTTCTCCCCTTCAGGTTCCCCCCAATTCTTTGAAAATTTATTATCTCAATCATGTCCTCCTCACCTACTTTTTTGATGATGTTTTCAATCTCCTGTTTTTCTTCCTCCCACCTTTCATTCTGTATCCTCCCCTTGCTCTCCTGAAGCCCATGAATAAACACAGACTTCTCCCTCTCCTCCTTCCATTGCCTTTCCCTCTATGTCTCTGGGTCCCATTTGTACATAGCTTTGTATCCCTTATCTTTTCCCGTATCTCCTGGTGGCATGGTCATGCCTCTGCATGAGGTCTATCCCTCTCTCCACCTTTTCCCCCCTTCCCTAATGCTATCCCTGCTCCTAACATCTCTCCCACTTCACTCCTCGATCCTGCTTGGTGGACTGATAGGGCCTTAGCATGTCATGTCTCCTTTCTTTCTATTGGGCTCCTCATTCAGTAGGAGTGTACCTGCTTCAGATGCTATGTCTGCTCTGGGCAATAGCCCTGTGACACACTTCAGCGAGTCACAGTGTATGTGTGTGTACTCACCTAATTGTGGTTGCAGGGGTCGAGACTCAGCTCCTGGCCCCACCTCTTCACTGGTCTCTACTAGGTCCTCTCTCTCTCTCTGCTTCGTGAGCTTTGTCATACCTCGTCTTAAAGCTATGTATGGTTCCTGCCTCCACTACATCACTTGCTAGGCTATTCCACTTCCTGAAGACTCTGTGACTGAAGAAGTACTTCCTAACATCCCTGTGACTCATCTGAGTCTTCAGCTTCCAATTGTGACCCCTTGTTTCTGTACTCATAATTGTAGTTGCAGGGGTCGAGACTCAGCTCCTGGCCCCACCTCTTCACTGAACGCTACTAGGTCCTCTCTCTCCTTGCTCCATGAGCTTTATCATACCTCATCTTAAAGCTGTGTATGGTTCCTGCCTCCACTACATCGCTTGCCAGACTGTTCCACTTCCTGACCACTCTATGACCGAAGAAATACTTCCTAACATCCCTGTGGCTCTTCTGAGTCTTCAACTTCCAGGAGTGACCCCTTGTTTCTGTGTCCTCTCTCTGGAACATCTTGTCTCTGTCCACCTTGTCTGTTCCACGCAATATTTTGTATGTCATTATCATGTCTCCTCTATCCCTCCTGTCCTCAGGCCGATTTCGCCTCAACCTTTCTTCATACGACATTCCCCTTAGCTCTGGAACTAACCTTGTCACAAACCTTTGTGTTTTCTCTAATTTCTTAACGTGCTTGACCAGGTGTGGTTTCCAAACTGGTGCTGCATACTCCAGTATGGGCCTGATGTACTTAGATATCAGAATGCTAATCTCAGGCTTGCCAGGCGCCCATATGCTGCAGCAGTTATCTGGTTGATGTGTGCTTCCAGAGACGTGTTTAATGCTATACTCACTCCAAGATCTTTCTCCTTGAGCGAGGATTGCAGTCGTTGGCCACCTAGCCCATACTCTGTCTGCAGTCTTCTCTGCCCTTCTCCGATCTTCATGACTTTGCATTTGGAAAGGTTGAATTCGAGAAGCCAGTTGCTGGACCACGTGCCCAGCCTGTCCAGGTCTCTTTGAAGGCCTGCCTGATCCTCATCTGATTTAATTCTCCTCATTAATTTCACATCATCTGTGTGTCCCCTCTCTGGAACATCCTGTTTCTGTCCACCTTTTCTGTTCCACGCATTATTTTGTATCTTGTTATCATGTCTCCCCTGTCCGATTTCCCTCAACCTTTCTTCGTAGGACATTCCCGAGCTCCGGAACTAGCCTTGTTGCAAACCTTTGTACTTTCTCTAATTTCTTGACGTGCTTGACCAGTTGTGGGTTCCAAACTGGTGCTGCATACTCCAACACGGGCCTGACATACACAGTGTACAGTTTCTTGAACAATTCCTTACTAAGATATCAGAATGCTATTCTCAGGTTTGCCAGGCACCCATATGCTGAAGCAGTTATCTGGTTGATGTGTGCCTCCGGAGATGTGCTCGGTGTTATGGTCACCCCAAGATCTTTCTGTGTGTGTGTATTTTAGAGATTTCTTTTGCTTTTAGGATGCATTTATATCTCTGCATACCTTATATTTAGTAGAAGCTGTCTCAGCACAGAAAAAAGCTTACTCACTTATTTTTACTTCTTTTAACTTCATTTGTGTCAAAAGTTCATAACTCATATTCAATTTTTAATAACAAGTTTCTCTTTTTTGCAGTTTGAAGATGATGTATAAATGTGGAGGCTAAAGACAGCCGATTCAAGCATTTGGGTCACTGAAAGATAATGAATCCAGTAACCACTTCAGTAGATGACCTCCAAGCTGCCATGAGTTACTTAAGAAATAGACTGGGACCAAATGGATCAGTATCAGTGTTTTTAGTCCCAAAGATACCAAGTAAGAATACTAATTTGAACAAAAACTCACAATCTAGAACTGATGACATGGAAAATAAAAGACCAGAGCCTGATTTAAAAGATTCTGATGCTGTACGCATCTGTGGTGAAGTCATTACCATCAGTGAACCTGTCCCTATATCAAGTAGCCTTTCTTCAGAGACCATCCCAGTTTCTGCAACAAATTCAAATGTTAATTTACCAGATATACAAAGGTCTAACATGGATGAACCACAGTCGTCCTCTGCCACTACAAACAACAAATCAAGGGACCATAGCTTAAACATTTCGTCTGAGACAAAAGTCATGTCTGTGGAAAATAGCAAAGATGTGTCAAAACTTGATGAGAAAACATCAGACAAAAACCATACTAACTCTTCGAATGACCCTCAGCAGCTGCAGCAAAAGGTGAATTCTGACAGTCAGCACCCTCAACATAAGCTGGATTCTTCTTACCATCTGTCTGCCACTAGAAATGCATCAAATAGTCCATCTACACCAGGAAAGCAAGTAAGTGACACACCTTCAATTGTGAAGGTGTCAGGCTCTGATGTGGAATTCTTGGATTCTTCTGCAAAGGAGAGATTGAGTGCTTCTGAAAAGGAAAGAGTGGGCTCTGTGAAGGAAGGAGTGGGCTTTGTGGAGGGAGTGAACTCTGTGAAGGAAGGAGTGGGCTTTGTGAAGGAGGGAGTGGACACTGTGAAGGATGGAGTGGGCTCTTCTGCTAAGGAGGGAATGGACTCTTCTGGGAAGGTTTTTGGCATTTCTGGGATGAGTGATAATGTCTTGATTGCATCCCAGAATTATCATTCTGCAAGGGCTCGAAGGTATAACTTGAGACACTCTGTGCATCAACCAGTTCGGTTCTCATCAATTGTGCCAACACATTTTCAACAGGGAAAGATTGTCAAGACTAGGAAGAGGAAAGTACTTACCATCACATTACCACCACTTCCACAGATTACTGAGAGTGAGCTTCTAAGCCTATTTTATTCATTAGCAAAGATTCATAAATGTGAGATGAAAATAGATGGTTCAACAGTCAATGAAGCTAGACTACATACTCAAAGAAAACCGCTATCATGTATTCCACATCAGCTAGAACCCAGCAAGAACTTGAACAATTTCTCTGTCTCTAATGATAATGGCCATTACCATACTACAACTGCCTCAAATAATGGGAATAATGAAATCAGCCCATGTAATTCTATTAATAATTTAATTGAAAGGTTGGAATCTCATGGCACTCGTCTTACAGTAACTCGTGATGTCTCACACATGAGTAACAATGATGTAGATCTTCTATCTCTCTATCCAGAGATTGTCATGGGCAGTCCATCCGCTCATACAAGCATAGCTTTCAACAGGTATTAATACTCCAAAACAAATAATAGCACAACCTTAATGGCTGTGTCTAGTCTTGCAGTAAATGCTATGAATATATGGTCTCAGTAAATGTCAGAGTCATTTTCTCTAAAGGAATGCCCCAAAAGAAAGGTTAAAAGTACTTCAACCAAATGCAGAATGTTTCCAGATTACATCCTTTCTAACTTCCTAACCTAACAAAGTGGAACTGCAAGGAGCATCAGCAAAGACAATTGCATTGATGCAAAGGTTCAGCACACTGAATGGATAGTGTTTTAATCCTAAGGTATCTGTTATATAGCTTATCTAACAACCATGCTTGCCATTTGGTACCTGATGGTTTCTGTCTCTCTCTCACACACACACACATATCTCTGCAACCACAAATTGGTGAACGAACGAATGAATGCACACACACACACACACACACACACACACACACACACACACACTCTCTCTCTCTATCTCTCTCTCTACACACACATTGCACAAATGAAGCCACTATATGACAGAACAGTATCTTTCATTCTCATAATAAAGCCTCTTTTTCTGTAAGGCTGGATAATACAGTACTTGAACTAAATTCTGTTGTATTGCCTACATGGACAGTGTTTCTTTAAATGTTTCCTAAATTTATGAATACCTGAATGATGTTTTTGTATAATACACTGTTAGCAAAGTTTTATATATAAAAAAATGGTTTTATTTTCAGCAAAATGGATTATTTTTAGTTTGTAAAGTTGAAAAGGATCATATTTTGACTAAACAATTAATGTATAATGCATTTCAATTTTTTTTTGTTTCATAGGGTTACATACAATACTTATATGACAAGACAAATCTAGTTTAATGTGTATCTGTATACATAAAAAAGTATACCTCAATCCTTCTGTTATAGATTATAGCTCTGTATTTTGGCATATATACAAAGTATACCTTAATCCCTTTGTTATGGAGTCTAGTTGTGTCTCTGTGTATACACAAAATGTATTCTTTAATCCCTCGTGGATTACAGTTGTATACTGTATCTATGTATATACAAAATATACATATTCTATTTCCTGGCCTTATAGATTAAAGTAACCTGGAATATAAATAATTACATATAATGCCTACAAAGATGTTTACACTTTTTATCCTTATACAGTTGAATAAGCTCTTTTTCTAAACTTTGTAAACAATTACCTATTCTATTGCTATTTCATCCTATTATAATTTTGGTGATATGTATACTTTTGAAGAATATTTTACCTTCAGAATGTTATTATATACCTTTACAGGAATGTGCTCTGTTTTCTTAATTAAAAGGTGTCTTGGTATATACTTTTTCTTAGGGATGTGGTATAAACATTTACAGTAATGTGTTCTTACTTTCTTAAGGATGTACCCATGTTTACTTCTAGATTAATATGTATATTGTATTTCTTCATATAATGAAACAATGAATACTTATGTTTACTACACAAAGCTTTCTGGATTATGGTAATAACCCAAAATTTTGTTTATGCATTGTGTTACAAGTAACTAAAATTAAGTTTGTTTATTTCTTGAAATTCAGAAATCTCTTAATCTGTTTCTTCAATAAATTTAAATTTTGCATTCTAATATTCTATATTTTTATTCCTTGTTTTAATTAGTGAATGTTTCAAATTTTTACTTGTAGTGTTTTCCTTTCCAATAGTAGGATGTGTGGCTACCCTGACCTGTCTGACATTTTACAGGTTTGAGCAGCTGTATAATCCATATGGATTTAGTGCTTGTTGATGGTTGTAAAAAAGTTTGAAGGAAGAGCTTTGCGTGCCCTTAACATAATTTCTGTTATGATTTTCTTTGTAATATTAACCCAGTGACCAGTGTAGGCCCACAGTACGTTGATTACAATACTTCATTCTAACTTTTGAGCCTGAAACATGGTGCATACAACCCCACCCCTCCCATTCCCCAAGTGTTGTGTGACCCCTTCAAGGGGGATGCCATTATACTGTTTAATGGCTTTTAATCCAAGAAATTGGAGCTGTTCTGTTTGAAACTTGCCTGATTACCTCCCATTTCTCTTCCCCAGGCACGTTGTGACTACATGTTTAGCACTTTCCCAAGTAAACTATTAATGGTTTAGTGCTTCCAAATTAATTTACTAGTAATTTTGTTTCTGAGCTCTAAGCCTATGAAATTCATAGCATGGTGTGATTGGTTACCATATGATTTTTCAATTCATAAATTTGATGGTCAAGACCTATTGTACATGCAGTATTTGATAGCTGGTCTTGAGTAATTAAAATGCATCTTACATATTGTGTATTGACATGTTAGTAAGGCCATTTTTTTATACTCAATGAAGGAAGTAAATGTTTCTAGTTATGGATGTTCCAAATATTGCCTGTTTAAAAGTTTCATATTAAATTAACTTGTTTGCACTGTGGAGGCAAAGAAGGGAATGTATGAAAGTATAATAGTACCAACACTCGTACATAGGAAAAAGTGCACAGAGGTCTTTTAAGGGAATTGTTTTTTGTTCCAAATTTACTTTCTTCACGAAGCCACCTGTCATTTTCCTAGAACTAGAAAAATTTAGCCTAGAATGTATTCAGTGTTCACTAAGAATCCAGAATGCCTACATGGACTTTACTCATGTTGAATGCTATGCCAACTGCAAATTAATTTCTAATACACTACCTCAGTTCATGCTGTTTCAAATTCCAGAGCCAGTATGTATTTAATTTACCTGTCACTAATTAGATACATTAGGTTTGCATATACAACATGTTGACTCTGATGCTCTGGTTCTGAAGCAGTCACTATCATCATGTCTGAAGTAAAGTGTGTAAAGAGCACTGGGGACAGATCGGTGATGCACTTGCATAAAATCATGCCATACCAGTTATGCTACAATATACAAACTCTTCTGTTTTTACTGTATTCATAGAGAAGCAATAAGGTCAAAGGCCATGTAACACTTGCTAAATGAGAGGTAATATGGCTTGATCGAAGGTTATTTCTTGTTTGTTGTTTAGAGTCAGAATGTAACTGCCCTAATCGCATTTTACAAGAAACCAACTCCGCATGGAATTTGTTGAAACCCTATAGAAAGTATCTATAATCCTATCCATAAAATGAGATATAGTGTTGTGACAGTAAAATTGCATAGGACACCAAAGAAAGTGTGTGAAGATTTTGTATACTAAGTTCAAGTCACTATACTGGTATTGCATGAGAGGTTGTTAGATCAGTCTCTGGTGCTATATGTACAAGGTTATTTTCATAATATTGTGAAATTCTTAATTTAATTTCAAAATTATGGTAAAGTAATAAGTATTTCATTCTACAATGCACCAAACATGGTTTGCATTGCTCATAAACAAGTGCATGTGCAAAATGAATCTGGTGTAAAAAAAATTATTACTGTAACGAGCTTGAATATTATAATAAAAAAAGAAGCACTAAACCCACTAGGGTCATACAGCGCTGGTAATGAGCTACAACCAGCGAACAGGCTACATAGTGAAAAAGTAAAACTTGTATTAATCTGCCATTAATTTTTAAATTCAGAATTACATGTGGTGCAAAAATGCTGATTGCAGTACTCACATCTTTAAATTCTTTAAATTCAATATTGTAATTTTGCTTAATCAATTTAAAAAGCATTAGTACTATAGTAGTACAGTACTACTGTATTTATTAAATTATCAGTGATCAGCTATAAAGTTTCTATATTTTAAAAAGAGAAAGTACATTAAAAATCTTTATTACAGTACAACTGTGAATCTTATACCAAGTGGAATGAAAATAATTTTCTTAAAGGAATTTCAAACACCAATAGGCCACAGACACAGAGGAGAGCAAGAGACGAGAATTTTTTTTATGTACAATACAATATAAAAATATGCATGAATATTTACCCTCCTACCTTTCCATTCCAAAAATCATCAAATAAACTATACATCATCCACTCTAGATGTTTTTTTTTTTTTTTTTTCAGGAGCACCAGCCTAATACTTGAAAATAAGTTTTCTGCTGAAACTAAATCTTAAGCTTTCCAGAACACAACCTTGATGACCATATGAGACACTGCAAAACCAAATAAATTGATTTATTAAATTACATATTGTATTTTTTTGAATTATACAATATAGGAATATTGTAAGATTTATAAACAAAGGAGTCAAATCAATTGCAAAAAATTTAAATGCAGTTTTTTCAGGGCAATGTGTCATATATTTAAGTACTGAACAAATATTTTATAGGTCATCGTGCATAGAAGTGTTCTGGGCGAATCCCTAGACGGTCAAATGTAGATAATCTGCAACAAAAGCACGTATAATTTTGTTTAAGTTGTCAATAGTGGGATAGTGAAGTGCTCTTTCATTGTCAGAGTTCTTGTGCCAGACTGAAGGGAAGGGGACAGGAATCAAATGCAGCACTGGAACATCTGAAATAATTATAAAAATAGAATTAGCAAATTGTATAGCACATCTATATTTAAATTAAATAACTTGATCTAGTAATATTGGAGGGTTTTACTGTTCTCTATTTTAAAATGCTATATTATATTCTTATCCATTTCCTCTTATAGAAACTGAAAAGAATTTTATATATTATAGTGCAGTACTGCATGACCCTGGTGGGTTTAGAACTTAGTCTTCATTACAATAATAATTTATATTACAGTATATACAATGCTGGGCTGCCATTCTTGACATCTGAACCAAAGTATACATCTGAGAAAACTATCGGCAGATTCAACAGAAATTAAAATTTTGATTCGTGCTTTTCAATGATAGATTGTATTTCAGAGGACAATTAGAGAAAAATATCCTATAGTGAATACTGAAGAACACTTATTCCCTTTCTTAATTATTAAATACTCTATTGAGTAAAGGATAACCAGCCCACTGCCTCAGCTGCTTTAGTCACCTTCAATGACATACTGTACATGGATCACAAGCAAAGGATTTCTGAACAGCTCCCCTGAAATATTTCTTAACAGATTCTAAATTGGGTTACGGTTGCCTTAAATTTATATACTGTATCTGGCTGAAACCTTGCAAAACCTTCATTTCCAATTTACAGTGGGAAGTGGAAGTCTTAAGCGGAAAGTTCACCTCACAGCTGAAGGACCTGGGTTCAGTCCCAGGCAGGTCTCCTTACTCCTGATACCCCTGTTAACATATCAGTAGTAGACTGATGTGGGTCATGGAATTATAGGGCCTAAGGAACCCAGTGAAATTAAGCCATGCTAACTTCCTTTGGCTATCCTATTTTAATTGCATTTCAGGGTTAGTCTGAAGGAAGTCTAGAGCCTCTTGCTAAATGCTACTCAACAAATGTGGTATAAATATTACACAGTAAATACAATAATTTAAAAAAATGTTCACTTTTTCTTACCTCTCTCAAGAAAGGGAAGGTGATCATCTGCTATACCAGCCCCATAATATCCTCCTTGATTAAACATAAATGGCCGTTGGTGAAGTAACTGAAGATCACTAAGCCGCCGTTCATAAGAAACTAGACGGGCATACCACCGGTCAGTATTTCTATAGTAACTAGAAAACTGGACATCTTTTGTCCCCAAGAGATCTAACAAAACAAACAAGTCCTGAAAAACAATTTAAGAATTTAAAGTGGTACTGTTTATTATAATAATATAGCAAACATTATAGCCCAAATCTTTAATTTTATAAAAGAAAAAAAGTAATTGTGAAGAGCCAAATACAGTGGACCCCCGGTTAACGATTTTAATCCGTGCAAGAGGGCTCATCGTTATGCGAAATAATCGTTATGCGAATGAATTTTCCCCATAAGAAATAATGGAAATAAAATTAATCCGTGCAAGACGCCCAAAAGTATGAAAAAATTTTTTTTTTACCACATGAAATGTTAATTTTAATACACACAAACTGAAAAAGGCATGCACAATTACATGACACTTACTTTTATTGAAGATCTGGTGATGATTGATGGGATGGGAGGAGGGGAGAGCATTATCTTCTTACTGTTTAGAAGGGGAATCCCCTTCCATTAGGACTTGAGGTAGCAAGTCCTTTTCTGGGGTTACTTCCCTTCTTCTTTTAATGCCACTAGGACCAGCTTGAGAGTCACTGGACCTCTGTCGCACAACAAATCTGTCCATAGAGCTCTGTACCTCCCGTTCCTTCAAGACTTTCCTAAAATGGGCCATAACATTGTCATTGAAATAGTCACCAGCACGGCTTGCAACAGCTGTGTCAGGGTGATTTTCATCTATAAAGGTTTGCAGTTCAACCCACTGTGCACACATTTCCTTAATCTTTGAAGTAGGCACAATGGATTCCACAACTGGCATAGGCTTCTCAGGGTTAGCCCCAAACCCTTCAAAATCTTTCTTAATTTCCATACTAATTCTCACCCTTTTTACCACAGGGTTGGCACTAGAAGCTTTCTTGGGGCCCATGGTCACTTATTTTCCAGAAACAGCACCGAAAACACTGTAATAATACGAAATATTCCGAGTGTATGCTTGGATGTTACCGCGGAGGCTGGCTGGTAAACAATGGGACGGCCGGCACATGTGAGGGCACATTGGACGCGTCTCGGACGAAAATCGGTAAGCGGGTTTTTAATCGGTATGCGCGGCAAAAATTTTGCGATAAAAGTAATCGGTATGCGGAAAAATCGCTATGTGATGCCATCGTTATGCGGGGGTCCACTGTACAAGGAATTAAAGACGGCAAAATAACTGTAGGGAAAAAATACAAGCTAAAAAAAAATTCCAGTGAAAAATAGCTTTCAAAGAGTGAAGTCTGAACTCAAAAGCAAATTCACAAACAAACAAATGCAAAACAGAGATCTGACTATGTACAGATTAGCTAAATAAAGACAATTTTTAGTTTAGGATAATTTTAATTATAAATTTTCTAAATGCAATAACAATTAGAGTTAACAAGCCAATGTAAAATGAATACATATTTAATTGCAAAAGATTTATGATTATTAAGGATGAAATAACTAGTGAACAAAAAAAGATGATTACATACATCAAACAATTACCAACCATTTTATGTAGAAAAGTGGTGCCATCACTGTTACCCGGAGGATACAGTCTAGCTTCTAGCTTTGTGGCTAAATTACGTGCACCATATAGAGAGTCTGCTGCTGTCCACTGACGGAAAGCCTCCTCTCCATCGAAGAATATAAATTGTAATGTCAGATCAGACTGCTGAAAATTAAGATACATGAGAACACTAGTGAAATTTCAAAACACTATACACACAAAAATGAATACATTACTAAGTATTCTAGTCAAGCAAATTCACAAAATTAACAATACTACTGTAATAAAGTTTATTGCAACAAAGTAACAAAATCTTTGGTACATAAATAATACGTGTACAGTTCCTGACAGAAGAGTAGGAAATTAAGAACAACAGTTTACAACATGCAGCTTGTTGTGCCATCATCGATACACTGGGGAAAGTAAATACATACTGTATCCTTCACTTAGGTGTTATAAGCAGTGCAATATTGGAAGTCACAAATTTTATTTAAGTTTACAAAAATATCTTAATTAAGCATCTAGAAATCCATCAATCTGTCCTCCAAAGAAAGTGATTTTTTAAATGATTGAGACAACCTGTGGAAAGCAACATCAGTGCTATGAAAACAAAGACTATTTTTTCTCTCTGCATTACTGTAGATTAAACTAACAAATTAACTAAGAACATAAATGAACTAGGGAGTATTGTAAGTTATGTACTATATGTAAGAAAGGGCTGATAAACACCCAGAAAACACTATAAATCATTTTGAGAAATGCACATTTTCTTTAATACAGGTGCCCTGAAGTGTCATTCTCCATTTTTCTAACTTCAAATTTTACTTATTTTTATCAGTATCCACCATATATTTAAGCAGATGGGTATAACTAGTGATGTAAGAAATTAAATTCTTAAAGCTGGATAGTGCTCTAATTTGTATTTGCCACAATTATTTAGTTACCTTATCTGGAGTTAATTTCATGTCATAACTTTACACCCTATAAGCCCAAATTACTGTGTTTAAGTCTCTGTTTGGTATGGGTGGTGACATTTATAAACATTATGCTTGATAGCTTTGGTAGGTGGTAGTTGGTAGGTGGATCTATAACTTCCTCACAAATAGAACACAAAGAGTAGTAGTAAACAGAGTCAAGTCTGAGGCGGCTACGGTGAAAAGCTCTGTTCCACAAGGCACTGTACTCGCTCCCATCTTGTTCCTCATCCTCATATCTGACAGACAAGGATGCAAGCCACAGCACCGTGTCTTCCTTTGCAGATGACACCCGAATCTGCATGACAGTGTCTTCCATTGCAGACACTGCAAGGCTCCAGGCGGACATCAACCAAATCTTTCAATGAGCTGCAGAAAACAATATGAAGTTCAACGATGAGAAATTTCAATTACTCCGATATGGTAAACATTGAGGAAATTAAAACTTCAGAGTATAAAACAAATTCCAGCCACACAATAGAGCGAAACACCAACGTCAAAGACCTGGGAGTGATCATGTCGGAGGATCTTGCCTTCAAGGACCATAACATTGTATCAATCACATCTGCTAGAAAAATGACAGGATGGATAATGAGAACCTTCAAAACTAGGGATGCCAAGCCCATGATGACACTCTTCAGGTCACTTGTTCTATCTAGGCTGGAATATTGCTGCACACTAATGGCACTTTTCAAGGCAGGTGAAATTACTGACCTAGAAAATGTACAGAGAACCTTCACGGCACGCATAACGGAGATAAAACACCTCAATTACTGGGAGCGCTTGAAGTTCCTGAACCTGTACTCCCTGGAACGCAGGCGGGAGAGATACATGATTATATACACCTGGAAAATCCTAGAGGGACTAGTACCAAACTTGCACACGAAAATCACTCTCTCCGAAAGCAAAAGACTCGGCAGACGATGCAACATCCCCCCAATGAAAAACAGGGGTGTCACTAGCATGCTAAGAGACAACACAATAAGTGTCAGGGGCCCAAGACTGTTCAACTGCCTTCCAGCATACATAAGGGGGATTACCAATAGACCCCTGGCTGTCTTCAAGCAGGCACTGGACAGGCACATAAAGTCGGTACCTAACCAGCCGGGCTGTGGCTCATACGTTGGATTGCGTGCAGCCAGCAGTAACAGCCTGGTTGATCAGGCCCTGTTCCACCATGAGGCCTGGTCACAGACCGGGCTGCGGGGGCGTTGACCCCCAGAACTCTCCAGATAAATTCCAGGTAACCAATAAAACCATTAACATGAAGGAAGATTGTATTAATGTTGGTAGAATTACTGACAATATGTAAAGTAAAAGGACACAAGTGCAACTAATGTGACATTTTATTGTGGCAATGTTTCACTCTCCAGGAGCTTTATCAAGCCGTTACTTGATAAAGCTCCAGGAGAGCAAAACGTTGCCACAATAAAATGTCACATGAGCTGCACTTGTGTCCTTTTACTTTACATGAAGGAAGAAGTTGCTTACTCTATTAAAAATGCATATTATAGCACCACTTAAGATCTAGGTCATTTACTCACAACACAAAGGTCCTATATGCAATTCCTAGGCACAGTGAAACATATGAGCAAGTTTTTGCAACTCCCTGCCCATGTTCACTGAGTAGTAAATAGGTACAATAAAAAATCAGTTTAAGTCAACCATTTAAGGACTCCACTAGAAAAAAGGAATACAACTTTGCTTTGATGGGTTATCTAAAGTTAATCTTCTGGTGGTATTTGAATGCTCTCTTCAGTCAGATCATCACGTGTAATTTAATTAACAAATACTGTACTTACAATACTCCTGAAGGCTTCATATTTAAAAATACTATAGACAGGGTAAGTGTACATAACTATTTCCTCATTGAAGGAGAGTTTCCAGTGAACAATTTATCAAAGGACATACATTTAAACATTCTTAAAACAAAAAGTTTCAGGCTATGAACAACATCTTACATTTTCTATTTAATAAAACGACATCACTTTGAACCACTATATACAGTATGTTACTTACAGCTTCACGGTTTTTATTAAGGCTGACTTGCATCACTTTAGCAAGGTTCAGCATCATTGCACAAGGAACAGCAGAATCACTGGCACCAATGAAAGTGCCCTCACGGTCAAATTTAGAATCATAGTGGCAAGCCAAGATTAAATGGCGAGGTGCATTTGGGTTTAAAGTAGCTATAACATTTGTGAAAGTTTTTCGACCCAATGGAGTATTATCGTCAAACGGACTTTCTTCAACTGTCCATCCAAGATCACGCATAGTAGTTACAAGATGCTGGAAAGAAAATAATTACATTAAAATAAAATTTATTTAGCACAGTATTAAAATTACAATTAGTATACTGTACTAGCAAAGGTACTGGAAATAACAGCAAAATACCAAAGATACTGGAAAGTAACTTACTCTGTGAAACTACTCTTTCACTGTTGCTCTGGACAAATATTTATAAAATGACAACAAGTATTTAGCACTGTACATTAGCTTAATCTACACTCCTGAACTATCTTGGAATGAGATTCCTTCACTAGGGAAGTACAGTACTGTAATTCATATTATTATTATTATTATAATAAAAAAGAAGCGCTAAGTCACAAGGGCTATGCAGCGCTGCAGGGTAGGGAAGGAAGTGAGGGTATTGGATGGCAGAAGGGAGGAAGGATGATCAGTAGGTTACAGAAAACAGCGGGGCAGGGGATAGTACGGGGGTAGAGGGTAGCAAGAGATTGAAGTAGAAAGGGCTGAAGGTATCAGAATTTGTGAAGTAAGTCAGTTGTTGTCAAAAAGTCAATGAGAGAGTCCGGATGAAAGGTGGGTCCATCAGCGAGAAGGGAAGGTAAAGAGAGAGCAGTGGAGCGAAGACGACGACGGAGGTAAATTCTGCGTGCTTGTTGATAAAGTGGGCAGTCCATCAGAATGTGGCTGACTGATAATGGAGCTTGGCAATTCTCACAGAGAGGAGCAGGGCGCCTCTCCATGAGATATCCATGAGTAAGACGAGTATGGCCAATGCGAAGACGGGAGAGAGTAGTCTCCCAACCTCGACACTGGTGATAAGAAGACGGCCAGTAACCTATACTCGGTTTAATAGATTGAAGTTTGTTACCGAGCATAGTAGACCAACGTTGTTGCCAACGGGTGTGAAGTTGGGAAGACATTGCAGCAAAATAGTCTGTAAATGGAATACCTCTACATGAAACTGGTAGGTCATGTACTGCTGACCGCGCAGCAGTGTCTGCCTGTTCATTGCCCTGTACGTCAACATGTCCAGGGACCCAACAAAAAACAATATCTTTATGCTTGGTAAAGATGCGGCGTAGCCAAAGTTGGATACGGAGGACTAAGGGGTGAGGTGTATCAAATTTCTGTATAGCCTGTAAAGCACTTAGGGAGTCTGAGACAACCACAAATGATGACACAGGCATAGATGCAATACGGATAAGTACTGCAAGGATGGCATACAATTCAGCAGTAAAAATACTAGCCGAAGATAGTAAATGCCCTCGTACGACGCTGTCCGGAAACAATGCTGCGAATCCTATGCCGTCAGAAGACTTAGAGCCATCTGTGTACACAGCAATGGCATGAGAATGAGAGTGGAAGTGGTCAAGAAAAAGAGAGCGGGAAGCGACCGTAGACAGTTGGGCTTTCAAGCAAGGGAGAGAGAAAGAACAGACTCGAACAGCTGGTACTTCCCAGGGGGGTAGGGAAAAGTGAGATGCTACATGAACATAGAAAGGTGGTAATTGAAGAGAAGACAAGAGCGAATGAAGGCGAAGAGAGAAGGGACGGAGTAAACAGGGGCGGCGAACAAATAAAGAATGTCTACTAATATCAGTGACCATTCTATAAATGGAAGGACTGCGGAGATCATGAGAGCATACATAGTAGCGAAGGCAATAGGCATCACGGCGATTGGATAAGGATGGAACGTTCGCTTCTGCATAGAGGCTCTCGACAGGGGAAGAGCGAAAAGCCCAAGGCATAAACGTAATCCTTGGTGATGAATGGGGTTAAGGCTAGAGAGAGTAGCAGGAGATGCCGCTGAATAGATCTGGTCACCATAATCAAGTTTCAATAAAATGAGGGTGGAATGTAGGCGAAGGAGGGTTCGACGATCAGCTCCCCATGAAAGATGAGCAAGGGTTTTAAGAAGGTTCAGCCGGCTGTGACAAGTTGCCTTCAGAGAGGTAATGTGAGGTTTCCAGGATAACCTATGGTCAAAGAGGAGGCCCAGAAACTTGACTACCATGTTCAGGGATACGGGACCCATAGAGGTACAAAGGATGATCGGAGATGACAGACCGTCTAGTGAAAGTAATTTGGTGGGTTTTAGTGCTGGAAAATTTAAACCCATGTGTGGTGGCTCAATTGGAAACACGGTCGACTGTATGCTGGAGAGAAACTGTAATGAGGTGACAGTCAGCGCCTGCACAGGCAATAGCGAAGTCATCAACATAGAGTGATGACCAAATATTTGATGGAAGACTAAAGGCCAAATCATTAATAGCAAGGAGAAAAAGTGTTGTGCCCCAGAACACATCCCTAGGGGACACCTTCAGCTTGGGTAAAGTCCGGGGAGAGCACATTATTAACCCGAACACGGAAATGCCTGTCAGTTAAAAAGTTCTTAAGAAGGATGGAAGATTGCCTGGGAAGGCCTAAGGAGTGGGCTTGGCTAAAATATTATACCTCCAAGTTGTGTCATATGCCTTCTCAAGGTAAAAAAAATAGGGCAATAACTGAGTGGTTATTCGCAAAGGCATTACGAACATACGTATCCAAGCGTAGAAAGGGGGTCTATGGTAGAATGTCCCTTACGAAAGCCATTTTGACGAGGGGAGAGACTGTTGTGTATCTCTAAATACCACACTAAACGTCTATTTACTAGGCGTTCCATCACTGCAAACTGCACTGGTAAGAGCAATGGGACGATAGTAGGAGGCTTCATGTCCCGTAGTGCCTGGTTTGCGGAAAGGGAGAACAATGGCGAATTTCCACAGCTGTTTAAGAACTCCTTGTGACCAAATAAGATTGTAAAGGCGTAATAGGACTGCAAGGGCTGACTGATGTAAATGTTGTAGCATATGAATATGAATGTCGTCGGACCCAGCTGCCGATGATCGGCAAGCTGAGAGTGTTTCCTCCAGTTCTTGAAGTGTAAAAGGCACATTATACTGTTCTTCTCTGAGAGAAAAAAAAGTCCAAGGGTGCTAACTCTCTGGCAGACTTTGAGGAAAGAAATGAGGGGCATAGATTGAGCCCCTGAGAAAAAACGGACCAATGATTGCCCAATTTAAATTGGCAACATCTAGTGGGTTGGCATATAAAACACCGGGCAACCCGCAGAAAAGGGAAACCCGGGGTCAGGAGAATATTTACCACTCAGTTTTCATACTTTTTTCCAGACTGCACTCAGAGGAAGCAGAGGTGATGGTGGAGACATAATCTCGCCAGCAAGTGCGTTTAGCATCACGGATGACACGGCGAGCGATCGCACGCTTCTGCTTAAAATCAAGAAGTCTCTCTGTGGTTCTATTGTACCGGTACCTGCCCCATGCAGCACGTTTCAAACGTACTGCACAAGCAGGAGACCACCAAGGCACGCATTTCTGAGAATGCCTGCCCGAAGTTTGGGGTATATAATTAGAAGCTGCGGTTAAAACGGAGGACGAGAAGAAGTGTAAAAGCTCATCGATGGAGGACGAAGAAGGAACCTCTCTAAAAACAGTTAGGTGTGAGTAAAGGTTCCAATTTGCTTGATCAAATTGCCAGCGTGGGATGCGAAGAGGTGGTGATTATGAAGGGGAAGTAAGAATGATTGGGAAATGATCGCTGTCATGTAAGCCCGGAAGAACAGACCAAGTGAAGTCTAATGCGGCGGAGGAAGAGCAGACTGAGAGATCGATGCAAGAGAGTGTGAGTCCGAGGATCAAAATGGGTGCGAGTACCTGTATTTAAAACATGGAGGGGGTGGGTGGCAAGAAAAGCCTCTAACTGAATGCCATGGGAATCACAGTGAGAACCCCCCCGGAGGAAATGGTGGGAATTAAAATCGCCAAGTAACAGAATGGGTGGCGGAAAAGATGAAACAAGAAAGGCAATATCCGAATAGATAATGCCCAGAAAGGAGAGAGATAAAAGAACAGAGCGTATACCACCTATCAAGTGGTTTAGGGGCTGCTGTGTAAGCAGCGAAGTACAAAACAAATAGCTGAGGTACGGAATATCAGTGCGTAGAAGAAGGGCATTTTCATTAAAGGTCCCATCGGGAAAAGGATCTAAGAAATACAAAAAAATTATACCCTGAGATGGGAGAGATAACAGCAGAGTGTAATTTTGGTTCCTGTAAGCAAACACCAACAGGGGAAAACGGGGAGAGTAACATCTGAAGCTCACCCCGATTACCCCTGGGGCCGCGTATATTCCACTGAAAAATAGGCCATGATTGGAAATGAAAAAAGATACCTGAAATCCGCAGGTAAGGGTTCCAACGGACTAGAGGGGTTAGAAAAGTCCACATGCGGAGGCAGTGGAAAACGTTCAAGCAGCGAAGGAATGGTGCGCTGTGAATCAAGGAGTTGCGCAGATGGAGCAGAGGAGAGAGAAGGAACGGAGGGTGGATCAGTGTCCATTGATGGTTTGGTCTCTGCAATATATTCAGAGATTGCTTCAAGTGTTCTGGAATTCAGAGACATCGTATGGGAGACAATATTGGAAATGTTAGGGGGAGGATGAGTAAAGATTAGAACTGTAATGGACTGTACCAAGGTAGGGAGGGGGCCAAAGGGTGGAGGGAACTGGAGAAGCGTGGAAGGGGACAGAAGAATCAGAAACCTGGGAGGTGGCAGAAGGGGAAGAAACTTGGGAGGGAACAGGGGAAGAAGGTATAGTACGAGGAGGAGGGTGAACCTCTACACTTATAACAGAGCCAGTGAGAGGGGAAGAACCAGGTACAGAGACAGGGAAGGTAAAATGAGGAGGTGGAAGATGGGTAGGAGGTGTTAACGGACCTTTTTTTGACTTCTAAGAAGTAGAGGGACGATTAGGAGGAGGTGTCATACGAGATCTCGTCGCTACTGAGGCTTGTGAGGGAGAACACGAAGAAGCGAGATCAGACTGAGGCGTTGAAGTAGGGATGTCTGAGCCTAGGACAGCAAAAGAATTAGATACAGGAGTGACTATGGGAGAGGTAACCACAGAGGTGGGTACAGAAGATGGGATCCCAGAAGTGGGGGGACGTTTTGAAACATGGGAATAAGAAACACGAGGTAGTCTTCCTTGGAGGCAGAGATGAGAAACTGCCATGGCATAAAGGAGACCTTCTGCCTCTTTGAGGTAACGGATTTCGCGCTCGTTTAAGTAGACTTGACAACGGCGAGAGTACAAAGGGTGAACCTCATGACAATTAAGGCAAGAGGGAGGTCGATTGCAAGACATATTAGAATGGTCATCGGCACCACTGACCAGGCATTCGGCGATAGATCTGCAATATTTCGCTGGATGGCCAAATCGGCAGCAATTTCTACACTGTTGTGGTGTAGGGATCACCTTTCGAACTTGTTTAAACCAATGTCCTGCTACATAAACTGAGGGGGGAGTTCACAGCTGTCAAAAGTTAAACGAGCCACATTGCTAGGGTATCGTCTCCGCCTGCGGGCAGGAAGAACATAAGTGTCTACCTTGAGGATTGGGAGATCTTGGAGTTCCAGCTGTCAAGAATTTCCCGTGTCACATGTCTGGGAAAAATTTTTTTGAACTAGGTATGGGGGCAGAATGACGGTACCACTACAAGAATTGAGGGGAATGATTTTTTTTAATAGGGGACAGGAACAGTATCGATATGGGAAAGACGAGAAAGCCACGAGCCTGGGTAGCATTCTGTACGGTGTGATGCGCGTACCGCTCTTAAGAACATGAAAAGAAATATCTTTACCAACATGGCGTAGGAGTGCCTTGCCCAATACTGTGGTCAGAAAGATAGGCAGTAGAGGAATCGGTCATAAAGTGAAGAATTTAGGGAGTGAAGGACGTTTCGATCTTTTCTGAGAAAAAAGAAGGTGGAGAAGTATCATCAGCAGGTTTAAATTTCGTTGGCGTTTAGGCATGGAAACCAGAGTTGGTCCGACGTGAACGGGCCCGCGTTCAAAAATTGCCACACCGAGAGGGAGAGGCCGGAAGCATGTCAGAGGGGAGCGAAGGGCCAATAAATCGAAGAGTCAGCGAGCCTCATACCTGAGCGGTGGGAACAGCACCGGCAAGAGGTACAGAGGGATGAGGAGTGTCCGAAGATTGGCCAAAGACAGGCGGGGTCAGAAACGGGGTGCGGATCAAGAAAGGGGCCCGGGGGTAGCAGGGTTTATGGACTAGGGCTGCCATGGTTAGGTTACTTCTTTCTTTTTATTTTTAAGAAAAAAAAAGAAAGAAAATAAAAATAAAAAAAAAGAATAAAAAAAGGGGGGACCAGGGAGGGATAGTTCCTAGGAGGAATGAAAGGGTCAGAAATCTTCCCTCCGCGCCCAAGAGGACTTCAGCACCGCAATTTGCGCAGATGCAGCATGGAACCCGTGCTATACCCTACCCATCATGCCAGTAAACCGGCAATCCGGGATAGCAACCTCACATCTGCCGAGCTACCTCGGTGGACAAGAGAGAGGGCGGCCGGAAATCTGCCACAAAGCATACCTCCTTCGGCCACCACCCCCGGAATCCGAAAGGTGGCTTCCAGAGATACACCCGTCGCCCGAGAGACACCCAAAGCCACCCTCCGGGATACCGGAGAGGGATCGGGACATCCCCAGGCAATCCAGATTCCACGGCAAACTACGCCACCGCCAAGAACCTCAACGGAATGGGATGGACCCCGGTACCCTTTCCCCTACCTAGGAACTAGCGTGCCTGTGGGGGGGGGAATCCCAAAGGCCAAAAAGGAAGGACAAAAGGGAGGGGTGGGGAGGAGGAGGAGGAAAGGAAAAAGGGGAGGATGGGATAGGGAACGGGGCATTGGGGGGTAATTAGGTTCAGTCTGAGGAAGGAGACCAACAGGTGTAATTCCTCAGACCAAGAGCCTCTTCACCACGCCAAGGAGCCCCCCTTGAAGAGGCTGTAATTTATAAGGGTATCTATTCTGTTTAATATGATACTTTCTCTAATTTCAGTGATGCATCTACTGTTCTTTAAAACTAATAAAAATAAAAATGTCACCCACTTCTAAACCATTACATTTTCAGAGAAAAGTAACAAAATGTCAGTCGTTAAAACATTTTTAACACGCTGGCCATCTCCCATCAAGGAGAGGCGACCTGAAAAAAACACTTTCACCATTATTTACACTATTATTTATTTTTATTAACACACTGGCCGATTCCCACCAAGGCAGGGTGGCCCAAAAAAGAAAAACTTTCACCATCATTCACTCCATCACTGTCTTGCCAGAAGGGTGCTTTACACTACAGTTTTTAAACTGCAACATTAACACCCCTCCTTCAGAGTGCAGGCACTGTACTTCCCATCTCCAGGACTCAAGTCCGGCCTGCCGGTTTCCCTGAATCCCTTCATAAATGTTACTTTGCTCACACTCCAACAGCACGTCAAGTATTAAAAACCATTTGCCTCCATTCACTCCTATCAAACACGCTCACGCATGCCTGCTGGAAGTCCAAGCCCCTCTCAATATTAATACATATAATTAATATTAACCGGAGGTAGGTGTCATTGGTTCAAAGGTATACAGTAACAGAGTGACAAAACAGTCATTTCTCCATATTTACATTAATCAATAATAAACACTCAGCCTCAAGGAGAATATTCAAGACAAAGTCCTTTTGTTCTTTCCTGTGTCTGAGTCCCTGGTTACCACAAGAGGTAGAATTCCTTAGCATACAAAAATTGCAGTTGCTGAAGTGAAAGGGACAACAATTCTTAATACAATTCTGTATTAAATTTAACTAGAAAAATTATTATTGGTTACTCAAAACTAATTAAAAACCAATAATCTTTCTTAATAAGTGCATGCATACTAAAAACTGTTAGAAACCGAATATGAACAAAGAAATTTATTTAGCAATACAGTAAAAAAAAGTTAAATAACTTACTTTTCTAACATTTGCATGATTTTCTGATCCCACAACACGAGGCACGAGAATGGGCTTGAGGAGACTTTTGAAGTGCTTCATATCACTCAGTCTGGAGATAGCTTCCAGTTCTGAATCACTCAGACCAATACCTTCGTGATGCTCCTGAAAAATAGCCAAATGCTTATAAACATCCCTTTGACTCATCTGGGTCTTCAACTTCCAATTGTGACCCCTTGTTTCTGTGTCTCCTCTCTGGAATATCCTGTCTGTCCACCTTGTCTATTCCATACAGTATTTTGTATGTCGTTATCATGTCTCCCCTAACCCTCCTGTCCTCCAGTGTCATCATAGGACATTCTCTTTAGCTCTGGAACTAACCTTGTCGCTAACATTTGCATTTTCTCTAATTTCTTGATGTGCTTGATCAAGAGTGGGTTCCAAACTGGTGCTGCATACTCCAGTATGGGCCTGACGTACACGGTGTACAGTGTCTTGAACGATTCTTTACTAAGGTATCGGAATGCTGTTCTCAGGTTTGCCAGGCACCCGTGTGCTACAGCAGTTATCTGGTTGATGCGTGCTTCCGGAGACATGCTCGGCGTTATACTCATCCCAAGATCTTTCTCCTTGAGCGAGGTTTGCAGTCTTTAGCCACCTAGCCTATACTCTGTCTGCGGTCTTCTTTGCCCTTCCCCAATCTTCATGACTTTGCATTTGGCGGGGTTAAATTCGAGAAGCCAGTTATTGGACCAGATGTCCATCCTGTCCAAGTCTCTTTGAAGTCCTGCCTGGTCCTCATCTGATTTAATTCTCCTCATTAACTTCACATCATCTGCGAACAGGGACACTTCTGAGTCTAACCCTTCCATCATGTTATTCACATATACCAGAAATAGCACTGGTCCTAGGACCGACCCCTATGGGACCCCGCTCGTCACAGGTGTGTGTGTGGGGGGGGGTGCATGCTCACCTATTTGTGGCTGCAGGGGTCGAGTCATAGCTCCTGGCCCTGCCTCTTCACTTGTTGCTATTAGATTCACTCTCTCCCTTCTCCATGAGCTTTATCGAACCTTTTCTTAAAGCTTTGTATGGATCCTGCCCCACTATATCACTCTCCAGATTGTTCCACTTCCTCAACTCTATAACTGAAGAAATACTTCCTAACATCTCTGACTCATCTGAGTTTTCAGCTTCCAGCTGTGACCCCTTGTGTCACATCTCTGAAACATTCTGCCCCTATCCACTTTGTCAATGCCTCTCAGTATTTTATATGTCGTCATCCTGTCATCCAGCATCGTCAGTTTGACTTCCTTTAACCTCTCCTCGAGGACTAGTGTTACTGCAAACCTTTGCACTCTCTCTAATTTCTTGATGTGTTTGACCCCGTGTGGGTTTCATACTGGTGCTGTATACTCCGATAAGGGCTTGACGTACACGGTGTATAATGTCATGAATGACTCCTTACTTAGATGTCGAAACGCTATTCTTAGGTTTGCCAGGCGTCCATATGTGTTAGTAATTTGGTTGATGTGCGCCTATACTTTTCCTTGAGTGAATTTTCCCGCCTTTGATCCCCTAGGTTGTACTCCGTCTTTGGTCCTCTTTGTCCTTCCCCAAACTCCATGACTTTGCACTTGCTGCGTATGGTGTGGGAGGGGGGGAGGTGTACATAAGCTACAAAAAAAAAAAAAATGCCCAAGGTATCAGGTTCTGTGAAACAATAAAGTCGGAAATCTGCATCATTTTGCGTTTTGTAACTAGCTTCTGGCACCGTACATAACGAGCGTTAGGTTCTCGACAAATTATGTCACAAGGGAATATCTTGGGGGTTAACCCCTGCCGCTGTTACTCTCCCTGTTTATACATTTATATTATTGGTGATTAAATATACAAAATTATCCTAATCTAAACAAACTTTCAGTTTAACTAGTTATTATTATTATTATCAGTAAGATGTTGGTTATAACTATGACCATAATTTTTAAAGGGGTGGACCGGTAAGCCAGCGGAAGGCCTCAGTCAGATGACCAAAAGCCCCAACGGCGGGTCAGCATCTAAGACCAGCGTCAGGAAACACTTGTCCTGTTTCCTGACGAACCTTACCTAGCCTAATCTCATTATCATGGGGAGCGCTAAACCCATAGGAATTATACAGCGCCTGTGGGGTATGGAAGGTATTCAGGCTTAATTCAGGGAACAGGAGCACAGATCAAATTCCCTGGATCAAGAGCCCCTCACCAACATCAATGAACCTCCCTTGAGGTTCACAAATTTAGTGATTTGGCTGATATAAGAAGCACATCAATGTGTAGGATATTTTTTAAGGAAGAACCCAACTATCTGAATGCATTAAATTACAAGTGGTAAAAAATTAAAAAATATGTTTGATAGGTACGATGTACAGAAGACCCGGTAGCGACATCTTTTAGCCATCCTGAGTATTTATTAAATAGTGAAAATGTAAAATGGTACATAACGGGAGACTTGAACGTTGACTTGGCTGAGGGTTGACGAGGGACAGTGAGCATTATGTCAAGTCATTCCCCTGGAGAGCTCGTTGTCTAATGCTGCAGCTACTCTAGTTACTTAATAAACTAGTTGACCATGATCTCATTCATCAGTTGGCGAACTTAGCATTACCAATAATACTCTAAAATAATACATAAAACTACCCGTTTGCGTATGTTAGTATTTTATCTTGAGAATTTCTTGCTGCTGCAATAAATAAATAAAAATAAATAAATAAATAAAAATAAATAAAAATAAATAAATAAAAATAAATAAATAAAATAAAAAATTATAAATAAATAAAATAAAAAAAATAAAAAAAAAAATAAAAAATAAATAAATAAAAAAAAAAAAATATGATTGTGTGTGTGTGTGGTGTGTGTGTGTGTGTGTGTGTGTGTGTGTGTGTGTGTGGGGTGTGTGTGTGTGTGTGTGTGTTTTGTGTGTGTGTTGTGTGTGTGTGTGTGTGTGTGTGTGGGGTGTGTGTGGTGTGTGTGTGTGTGTGTGTGTTAGGTTAAGTTTGGGGTGCCAGGTGTAAATGATAATGGGAGCCCTTTGTTGAACTTTGTATAGAAAGGGGGTTTTGTTACAGGTAATACATATTTTAAGAAAAACAGGATAAATAGTATACAAGATATGATGTAGAGCGAAATGACAGTAGTTTGTTGGATTTTGTATTGGTAGATAAAAGATGTTGAGTAGACTTCAGGGTGTACATGTTTATAGAGGGGCCACAGATATATCAGATCACTTTCTAGTTGTAGCTACACTGAGAGTAAAAGGAGATGGGATACAAAGGGGAATAGAAGCATCAGGGAAGAGAGAGGTGAAGGTTTATAAACTAAAAGAGGAGGGAGTTAGGGTAAGATATAAAAAAAGCTATTGGAGGATAGATGGGCTAATGAGAGCATTTGGCAATGGGTCGAAAAGGTATGGGGGAGGTTTAAAAATGTTAGTGTTTAGAGTGTTCAGCAGAAGTTTTGGTTACAGGAAAGTGGGTGCAGGAGGGAAGAGGAGCGATTGGGAATGATAATATAAAGAGAGTAGTAAGGGAGAAAAAGTTAACATATGAGAAGTTTTTACAAAGTAGAAGTGATGCAAGGAGGGAAAAGTAATGGAGAAAAAAAGAGAGGTTAAAAGTGGTGAAGCAAAGTAAAAAGAGAGCAAAAGAGGAGGTGGGTGAGGGGGTTTTCAACAAATTTTGTTGAAAAAAGAAAAAATTTTGG